AGTTTGTCACAGCCCCTCTCTTGTCTCTCTGCCTAAGGCCGTGGTCGCCCATCCCCCTCCCCCCTCACAACTCCAACGAAACAGTTTGTCACAGCCCCTCCTTTCCCTCTCTGCCTACCAAAAACGAAAAAAGGGAAAAAAAAAACAATCAGGGCCGTCACCCTCTTATCCCGACCTCCCATCCCATCCCTCCCCTATCGCGATCTCGTCGTCGGCCGCCCCATCCCGACTTCGTCGCCCCCCCAGTCGCATCGATCCCCTACCCCGACCCCATCGCCTCCACCTCCGAGCACCTGCCCATCCCGACTTCATCCCCTCCCTATCCCGACCACCAAACCCCTCCCTCGCATCCCAACCTCGTCGCCCCATCCCGATTCCTCCCTCTTTCTATCCCGACCCCGTCGCCTCGTCTCATCTCCTCCGACCACCAGACCCCCTCCTTCCCCATCGGGCTCCTCCCCTCCTCCATCCCGACTTCCGGCGGTCCCCCTTTCTATCCCGGCCCCGTCCCCTCGTCTCACCTCCTCCGACCACCGGACCCCCTCCCTCCCCATCCCGATTCCTCCCCCCTTCTATCCTGACCCCGTCGCCTCGTCTCACCTTCTTCGACCACCGGACCCCCTCCCTCCCCATCGGGCTCCTCCCCTCCTCCATCCCGACTTCCCGCGGTCGCAGGTCACCCACCCAAAAAAAAAAGAAAAAAAAAAAGAAGTTCAACTAACCTTCGTCCACCATTTCTTCGCGAGGTCGCTTGTCCTCCTCTTCTCCTCTCCTCTGCCCCGCTGCTCCAACCGTCAACAGCCGCCTTCCTCCTTTGCTCTCTCTCCCTTTCTCTCTCCCTCCCTCTCTGTCTCCCTCTCTCTCTCTCTCTCTCCGTGACGTCGTCGTCGTCAGCCACTACGTGCTATCGCGCCCGTCGTCGTCGTAAACAGTTGGGCCACCCAGCCGGTAAGCAGCCCTCTCTCACTCTCTCTCTCTCTCTCTCTCTCTCCCACACCAGTACGCAAAGCAGCAAACTTCCGAAGCATTCGAAACAGCACGGCGCACTACAGAAGTTAAAAGCAAGATCGTCGATCGGGCCCGCACTGGACGGCCCGATAGAAGTTTCGAGAATCACTGGCGCCGATCCCGAAAAATCTATCGGGCCGTACAACGCAGGCCCGATCCGCAATATCGCTGACGCTCACCGGTTCGGCCCGGCCCGAAAGACATACGCGGTGTCTGTCGGGCCCCCCTACCTGTCCCATTCCGTTTCCCAACAGTGGATAGCGGTATCTCGTGGGAGCGTTACGCGAGGACCGCTATTCACTTTTAAAGAGTGTTAAGGATAAAAAACATTCTTAACTTTTTCTTAGGTTCCTTATTTTTAACTTGAGTTTGGTTAGGAATTTGACTAGGCTACCAGAGTGGCCCGGGACCACTTGCCCAGCCGGGCCAAAAAAAAAAAAAAAAAACTCTTTCTAAAAAAAATAAACTCAGTAAAGAATTTCCATGTGACCCTGAGGCAAAAGTTGTTCAGTTTATTTCTCTGCTTTTTTTTTTTTCGGTTCAGATTTTTT